TTTGTCAAAAAGGATGTTTTTACCACTCTCTCCCATGCCACTGGGATGCAGTGCTCAAGTGGTTAAGACTCTGACTCTGTTGATTGCAAAATCGGCAGGTTGGTAGTTTGAGGCCCGGGTGCTGCATGATGAGGTGAGCTCCTGTCACTAGTTCCAGCTCCTGCCAACCTAGCAGTTTGAAAGCATGCAAATGCAAGTAGATAAATAGGTACCACTTTGATGGGAAGGTAAACAGCATTCTGTGCAATCATGCTAGCTACATGATCACAGAATAGTCTCTGACAATGCTGGCTCTTCAGTTTAGTAATGGAGGTTAGTACCACCCCCTGTGGTCAGATACAACTTGACAACCTTGTCAATAGGAAATACCTTTACCTTTACCTACCCATGCTTTCACAACTGAAAGAGGATGGAAATGCTTCAATGTTATGTGGAGACAGACAAGATAAACAGGCTTCTCTCCATTTCCCTGCCAGTTGTTTTTAATTCAATAAGGCTCTTGAAGAACAATCCCAAAAAATTTAAAGATAAAGTAAAAAATAGTTTTGCACTATTAAGCCTAATTGACCAGGAGCTGGAGGAACACTGGACTGAAGCCAGGGACTCTGTCAGGGAGGATTGCAAAAAGACACTACATGCAGCCAAAAAAGAAAAAAGAAAGAAGCCTCAATGAGTGACAGAGGGATCTCTTCAAGCAGTAAAGGACAGACAAGAAGCAAAAGTAAAAGATGACAGAAACAGAATCAGAATCCTGAGTGCAACTGTTCAGTGACTTGTGCACAGGGACAAAGAAAATTACTATAATAAGCAATGCAGAAAAACAAAAAGGAAGAACAAGAGTTCTCTTCTAGAAGATCTGAGAAATCAAAAGGAAATTTAAATCAAGAGTGGGGTTGTTATAGGACCTATGGTGAACACACACCAATGAAAAGACAATGGACACAATACACAGAAGTATATAAAAGAGATGAAAGGATGGCAGATTTATTCAAAGAAGAACCATTTGAAGATGAAACTACAATTTTAGTGGAAGCTGCATTCAAGATCACTAGGAACAGATGGCATACCAATAAAGCTGCTTCAAGCTATAGAAATAGAATCTATTCTAGTCCTAGCTAAAAATCTGTCAACAAATATGAAAAACAAAACAATGGCCCACAGATTGGAAGTGCTCAATATGCACTCCATTTAATTAATCTTCCATGTAAGCAAAGTGATGCTTAAAATTCTACAACAAATATTTTTCTACATATGAAGCAAGAAATACCAGAGTTCAGAAAAGGAAACGGCACTAGGGATCATATTGCATACATATGTTGGATAATGCGACAGTCAGGAGCGCCTGTTATCAGCTTCGGCTGATACGCCAGCTGTGCCCTTTTCTGAAAGTAAGGATCTCGAGACTGTTGTGCACATGCTGGTAACCTCATGTCTAGATTTCTTCAATGCGCTCTATATGGGGCTACCCTCGTGCTTGGTTCGGAAATTACAGCTGGTGCAGAATATGGTAGCCAGATTAGTGTCTGGAACATCCAGGAGGGACCATATTACTCCGGTTTTAAGGTCCCTCCACTGGCTCTTGTTCATTCTTTCTATCAGTCTTGGAGACAGTTTAGATTTCGGGCCCAGTACAAGGTGTTGATTATTATATTTAAAGCCCTAAATGGCTTGGGTCCAAACTATCTCAAGGACCAACTTCTCCCCTACAATCCTCCCTGCGCACTCCAATCCTCTGGGAGGAATTTGCTGCAGCCACAAAGAGCTAGGCTTGGGGCTACCTCCCAGAGGGCTTTTTCAGCGGTCGCCCCCAGACTATGGAACAGCCTGCCGGATGAGATCCGTCAATTGACATCCTTAGACAGCTTTAAAAAGCTGTCAAGATGGATCTCTTCCAGCAGGCCTTTCAGTGATAGATAATCCCGGCCTCAGGAATCCCTCTCCTAAGAGGGCTTCTAGGTTTTTAGTCTTAAGAACCACAGCCACATTGTGATCGTTTTTAAATTATTGTTGTATTTTATTGTATGTTTTAATTTATAATTGATTTAATAATTTTTTAAGGGGGAGGGAATTAGATTTTACAGTTGTATGTATATTTTATTCTTGTTAGCCACCCCGATTGATCTCAAAGGCGCGGGATATAAATAAACTTTTTTATTATTATTATTAATGGAACACACCAAAGAATTTCCAAAGTCAGCCTGTGCTCTATAGATTACAGCAAATTCCTTGATGGTGCAAATCATGAAAAAGTCTGGATCGCTCTTAAAGAAATGTGTGTGCCACAATATTTGATTGTCCTGATACATAACCTGTATTAGGAAAAGAGGCTATTGTCAGGACAGAATATGGAGGAAGGGAATGGTTTCCAGTTGGCAACGTGGTCAGGCAGAGCTGCAATTTATCACCCTATCTGTTTAATTTGAATGCTGAGCATAATGTACATAAACCAGGATTAGACTCAGAAGAAGGGGGTGTGAAAATTGAAAGAAGGAACATCAATTTAAAATATGCAGATGACATCATACTACTAACATAAAATAGCAATGATTTGGAATGATTACTGCAAAAAGTCAAGGAAGAATGTGCAAAGGCAGGTTTACAGTTGAACATTAAGAAAACAAAAATAATGGCCACAGATTATTGACATAACATTAAGGTAGACAATGAAGACATTGAAATAGTTCAAAATTTTCCATACCTTAGCTCAGTCATTAATCAGAATGGAGACTGAAGACAAAAAATCAGAAGAAGACACTCGTAATGGCAGCTATGAAGGAACTAGACAAGTTCCTCAAGTATAAAAATATATTATTGAATACTATATTTAAACTAATTTGTGCCATCACATTCCCATTTTCTATGTATGTATGGTTATTAAAGCTGGACAATGAAGAAATTTGAGAGGAAGAAAATAAAATCATTGGTTCTGGAGCAGAGTTCTACAGATACTGGAAAGTTATGTATGTGTGCAAAACAAGGAATACTCAGAGGTGGTTTCACAAGTTCCTTCCTCTGAAATATAGTCTACAGCACCTTGTATTAATTGGTGATCTCCCATACAAGTACTAACCAGGCTGACACTACTTAGCTTCCAATATCAGACAGGATTTGGTGCCTTCTGGAAGACTAGAGAAGCAGAAATAGTAATACTGTTAATATTTTTACATAGATTACCCTCTCTGGTAATAATAGGCATTGCTCTTTTGGCATCAATTTTGAATATTTTCAATTATTTGTTGTTTGATATAAGTTTGAAATTTATTTTTATACTGCTTTTATATCTACTCTTTATGTGAACTCCTGAGAGATGTCATGATATTAACAGGTTCTGCAAATGTTATATATATATATATATAAAAAAAAAAAAAGACAGAAAGTAAATCACATTTTATACGTTTTATATAAAATGAGGTTATCATATTTTGGCCAAATCATGAGAAGAAAGGACTCACTAGAAAAGACAATAATGTTTGTTAAAGTTGGGGGCAATAGGAAGAGAAGAAAGCCAATACTAGATGGATAGATTGGATCAGATAGAGCAGAGCAGGCAACTAAAGATAAGGTGCTTCGGAGGTCTCTCATTCATAGGGTTGCCATAGGTCAAAGTCAACTTGAAGGCAGTTAACAACATAATAAAAACCTCCCTGAAAGTGTAAAAAATGTCTAGGATGTTTCTTGCAAACATGTTAGTCTTCTAGTCATTGAGAGTTTTCCCAGTAGTCAAGGGGAACAATCAACTGTAGTCCAAAGTGGTACACTCCTTTCTTCCTTAACACATTAAACCAGGGGTAGGCAACCTTTTTGAGCCAGGGGCCGGGTTGCTGTCCCTCAGACAATTGGAGGGCCAAAGCACCATGAATAAATAAATAAATAAATAAATAAATACATTTTTTTTAAATTAAAAAAATATGCATGCACACTCTCTCAGCCCCAGAAAAGCCATGGCAAAACCCCCGTGGAGATTTTGCCAAGAAGAAGTAATAACAACAATAATCAATATCATTATGGTGGGCAGCGGCGGTGGCGGTGGCAGGACCAGCCTGGGGCTGGCCCAAAGGCCTCAGGGGGTCACATCCGGCCCCCGGGCCTTAGGTTGCCTACCCCTGCATTAAACATTCTCAACCTTTTCACCCTGGGGGAGCTCTTGAAATAATTTTCAGGTCTCAGGGTATCACTGTATATATAAAGCTTGTTTTTTAAAAAAAAATTACATTACACTGATTGAGAAACTATGCCTTCAAGTCTCACAGTGTACCCACCTTTGCACAGAAACAATTTCTTCTTTCTCCTAAGACGGAACTGTGTATGGCAATGTGGACCGTTTCCAAAGCTCTCAGAGCAATATCCATTTTCATGGAACATCATGGGCTGCACCTTCCTCTGATCTCAATAAAGAGCTTCTTATAGGCCTAAAACAAATGTGGGCTGAAATACCCCACTGTGTGTCCATAGCAAAAGAATTGGGAGGTGTGGAGGGGAACATACGCCACAATGCAACCCACAATAAAGATCAGTATATTAATATAAGTGCAGTGATGAAAACCCCTTGTGCAAGCTAAGTTCAAAGAGATAGAATTTAACCACTAAATGATCTGTTGTGGGTGAGGAATTGAGATCAGTAAAGCCAGATGGAATGGAAATAAATGCAAACAATACAGACAGTGAAAACAGCCTAAAAGGAAACCATTAGCAAACAATCATTGGGTGTTAATAGAGACAATCCTGCTCTGATGAGCTGATTGCCAAATGGAGTGAAATAAAAAGCTTTTCTCCCTATTTCAGTCACAAAAACAGAGATTAAATTCTTGATGAATTCTTATTCAGCTGTTTCCTCCTGGGAGCTGTGTGATGTCATGGGTATGTATATAAAAAGATTGCTTGATTTATTGTATAAGTATGAGGTAAGTAGCTGTTGGGAGTGTTGAAGTGAATGCTGATTGATGGAATATTTGAGGAGACTTTTGGGGAATGGCAGTTTGAGTTTGAGGGAAGTCACTTTTGTCAGTGTGGTGTAGTGGTTTGAGCATCACACTACAAGACTGTAAAACAGGGTTCAAATCCCTGCTCGGCCATGGAATACCCTTGGGTGATTCTGGCTAAGTCACACTCTCTCAGCCTCAGAGGAAGGCAAAGCAAAACCCATCTGAACAAATCTTGCCAAGAAAACCCCAGGTTTGCCTTGGAGTCACCATAAGTTGGAAACAATTTGAAGACAAATGCCACCACCAGCAACAGTTTTGCCTGGGGTTTGAGAAGAGTGTTATAAGAAATGTGAGTCAGCACCGTGTAATGGTTTGAGCATTTGGCAAAGGTGGTGAGACTTGCCTGAGAGGAATCTTCACAGTTCATGGCACTGGCATGATTGCCTGAATGAAAAGTCTCACATTTGTTGTTTATAGTGGTGGGATAAAGGGTGGAAGCCATATATAAAGATCTGGAAACTATCACATTTGGTCTGGCAGCAGTGGAATAGAAACTGAGATCCTTACATTTGGTGGCAGTGGTAGGATTACTCATGAAAAATCTTCCAGAAACTGTGTATGAGGATTTTATGTTCAAGGATGGTCACTTCCTGATCAGAGACCATGTCTGGAGAGAGTGTCCTCAAATTTTCTCCTAGTGGTTTTTGAATACAACTGTTTGGACATTATCACACGGGGGAAATCTGTTGGTTAATCCACACAAATCCCAAACAAAAACTGAATTTGCGCCTCACGATTTCACACGACATCACACAGAAACTGGACAGAAACTGGTATTATCCGAGATCTTTTTAATTTTGGGAGTTTAGAGGAAATGCATTTGTGAAATTACAGTAATTTCGCATTTACTGTAATGTGAAAAGCAAATACGCATGGACAATTCTCTTTTAAAACCTGGAGGAGGGCCAAGAGGAGGAGGAGGAGGGGCCTCCAGGGAGGAAGAGTCCCAGGCTCCTCCTCAGTGCCATGCAGGGAAGGGAAGGCAAGGCAAGGAGAGGGAAGTTTGGGACGGAGGAGAAGTTTGGCATTTGGGATGGAGGGGAAAAGAGGTGAAAGAAGGCTTCCCTCCCAGCAGCTGTGGGTGGATGTGGGTGCAAGTGTGGGGTGTGCTTGTGGAGCAACTTGGAGCTCCATCTCACCATGAAGTTCTGCCCTGCAGGTACTACAAAGGGGAAAGGCTTATGGGGGGGGGGTCATGGGAGCTACCTCCAGTTTCCCCCTCTCCTGGGCATTATCCAAGGCTCTGGCTCTCCCCAGGAAATACCCAGCTGTTCCTCCCTCCCTTCCTTCCTTTCTTCCCTTTCCTCCTCCTCCTCCTTCCCTGCCAGCTCTGCCTGTGATCCTGCCCTCCTTGCCCATCTCCCCAGCAGCTGACAGCCTCCAATGCCAGGAAAAGAGAGAGAAAAAAGGGAGGCTAGCCATCTCAATCCCTTCCTTGCCTTGCCTCACCTTTCCAGCCTCCTCCTCCTCCTCCTCTGCTCTCTTGAGAGGTCCTAACCCCAACGGAAGGGGGTTAGGACCTGTGCAGGAGGACATGACCCCAAATGTAGGACAGTCTGACACTTCCTCCTGGGAAATGCAGGACCCGCCCTGGAAAAAGGAGGAGTCTGATCATGAAACACACCCATTTCCAGTACATGTACAGGTTCTTTTCACTTGTGTATGAAAGTTAAAAACGTCTTTTTTCACTTTTAACTTAATTCCGTTATTACTGTAATTACGTGTGAAAAGCTTTTGCGCAATTAAGCACTTTCTTTTCGGGATGCTTCATTTCCACTTTATTATCTCTTTAACAGCGAAACTGGCCCACATGTGATAACGTCCTTTGTCCTTTTGTTCTTGAGCAAAGCAGCTTCATTTATATACCGCTTCATACCACACTATGGGGTGTCTAAGCAGTTTACAACTGTAAGCTCATTGCCCCCCAACAGTTAGGTACTCATTTTAGCGACCTCAGAAGGATGCAGGCCTGAGTCTAGCCTGAGCCCTGGCTAGTATTGAACTCCCAACCTTGTAGTTTATGAATGAGTGGCTGCAGTACAGGCATTTAACCACTGCTCCACGGCCTGTTTGTCCTATGTAAAATGCAGCAGAGCATTACTTGCGGTTGATGGCACATATCAGTGCCACTCAAGGCACTCTATGGACCAGAGTTTTCTGTAAGTCATTGCCTTTCAGTCTGTGGCAAGTTTCTAGGAAAGAAAGAAAGATTTTTAGTGAATGGGCATAATATGGTGCTGGTCCCTTGCACACTAGGAAATAAGATGTCATCTACCAAATCCAATCATTTCAGAAGCACTTGCATATATATCACATTTGAGGATGAACAACAAAGCTTGTGTGAGTTTTTAAAAAAGAAAAACTCAATTGGACTCTTTTTGCCACCTTGCATGAGTGCTGGTAGATAAAAAAACAAGAGAGAGAAAGGTTTTATCCTACACCGCCTGTGTCCACGGGTTCCACTCCAGATTGGCACTACACAGGTTTGAGTTATAACATGCTCCTTCAGATGTGATTGCACTGCAATCCCAGCATATCTCACCACTGCTAGACTGGCTAGAGCTGATAGGAATTAAATCTAACAGCATCAGGAGACCTCACTGTGTCCACCTTGCTTTAGCTTCATGCTACAGGTTTAATGTAGCATGCAGTTTGACCCCAAGTTTGTGGCCACAATCATATGATTCAAACACAGAGATGAGGATGTTTCCATATTTAGTGGTGTAGCAGAGATACTCTTTGTGCCACAGATGCTGGCTATTTCTCCATTAGAGCAATTTCCCAGGTGTTTTTTAGAATATGCAACAGGCATTTCTTCTAGATGGGTTTGACACAGAAAATATAGAAATGAGTGTAGGTCCCTTACAGGATCTTAAGGCCTGTACTCTCTTCTCCAATCCTTAGGACAAAGGACAAGAATCCCAAGGTAAGAACACTGTCTCGAAAATAATGTGTGTTTCCCTCATTAGTTAGACTTATTTGAGTGGTGTTACCCAAAAAACCCTCTCAGAATCTACAAATTGAATTCAATGGGAACATTAATTTAGCTCAATATTTTAGCAACGAGAGGATCCAGGTAACTCTGGCTGGAATACAAGCCTGTTTACTTGTTCCAAAAAACTAGGGAAATTATCGCATAATGATATAAATCAGCTTACCTGAGCTGGCTTAATATTAGATGCGGGTGGCATCCTGATATTATCAGCCGCATTTAGCCGCTGAAATCGCTGCCCAGGAGCATCCCGGTTCCATCACTGCTTGAAGGGGCTCTTCTCACGCCTCTTTTCAAAGCCAGGAGTTTTTCAGCTTGAAAAAATGGCCATCGGAATGCCCCTCTGAGTGGCAAATCGGGCTGTACACAGGCGGCAATTTCGGCAGCTAAATGCATCTGATAATATCAGGATGCTTCTCAATTTTAATTTTAAGCCAGCTCAGGTAAGATGGTTTATATCATTATGCGATAATCTTCTAGAACTCCAGAGTGCTCAGTACAACTCAGTTTTATTATTTGAATACAAGAGGGATGTCAACATTCACATGAAGCACATACACAGAGAGAGAGACATGGACTAAGATATAAAAGGAGGCAGTGGTTAGCAAATTAAAGGATTGCAATGGGCAACACTTACCATTTCCAGAAACCAGGCTCTAATCTAGGGAATAATTGGGGGTGGAATGGAACTCATTTGGCTGCTATGTGGCACAGATAGCCAAGCTTGAATCTGACAGAGGGGCCAAGGTTGAATCTGAGTTTCTGCCTGATTCCAAACTGAATCAAAGTGGGAGTACCCAAAGTGGGCATATTTATGGGCCATACCTGTCTCGAGGCAACTGGAGTTGGTTTTCCAGGAAACCCAGAAACAACAGGATTCCCAGCTGGTTGATGGTTTTAACTTCAGAGTTACAGAGGAATATTTTTGCTTGATGGCAATGACATTTAATCAAGCAGTGATAAGATCAGGGCAATCCAGGGAATCTGGGATAGGATGAGGGATTGGAAAATACAATGGGGGCTAGCAGAGTGATTGGCTCACTGCTTTAGGCTGAGAAACTTCTTTGTCTTTGATGTTCAAGAGGAAATGCACATGGTGGGGGTTGGGAAGCAGCAATCCTCACAATGATTAAATTATATGGGTCCTTTCCACATACCCTCAGGTCTATGTGACCACTCATGAGAAGTTCACTTAAAGGTCATCATAACCTTTCCAGGTTCATGCTTTTTGACCTCTCTGTAACTGCTATTATAGCAAAATATAACAAAATATTTGTACCCCAGAATAACATGGGGTATGCAGGGTGTACTAACAATAGCATAACCTGTGCATCTGCATTTGATGCTTGATGCTGTCCCTTGTACCATCACTGGGGTTTACCCTGGTTACATTACAAGGAGTCATCCCAAAGACTCAGCTTTTGACCTTTAAATCTAAGGGCCTGGTATAGCTCTGCCTTGGCAATTCTAGTTTCTTTTGTAGCCATGCATACAGTAAGGCTTGTCGTGAGCCACTCAAGTGAGAATGTAGTGTGATGCATGCATGTGAGTGTGCTACCACAATTAAGGCATCTTTTCATTACCTATTGTGAGCAATCAACATTCCTGACTCAGCTCTTCTTTTCTTTCCCCCCACCCTCCCCATCATGATGTCTCCGTAGGAGCACAAGTAGACTTATGCTGTGAATTTAATTTATTTTCAGCATTACATTTTTGAACCAAAACCTGGCATAAATTGAACTCTGATATCTTTTGCTTCAAAGCAGGAAGTACATGAGTGGGAACAGATTTGAACACCAAATACCAGAGGGATGCTCAAAGGTAAGCACTCAGAACACACCCACTCCCTTGCAGAAACAAACAACAGGAACACACACACTATGCTAATCCACCCACCAAAGTTCAGATAAAATTGAAGACACCATGAATACACCAAAACAAACAAACAAACCTGCTAACACATGTTAAACCACAAAAAATGAGTGGGATAAAAAAGATACACACAAGGCAATCAAAACACCTCAATCATTCTATGGCCCCAAGGACATCTGACTACTTTCACTGAATTACCTTGGTTTCTGAGTCGCTCACTTCAAAA